CCCCCCACGGGTTCCATAATATGCAGGTGTATTTCTACAGGCTTAAGATTACGATATAATACACACATAGCTGAAGCTGATACAGGTACTACGGCCTTGCTCGTCCGTTCGTTCGTTTAGTCTGTGAACGATAATCCGTAATTACCGTCGACCATCTCGAAAACAAAAATCCGTTTACGAGTGGAAACAAATAACAATACACGAACATTTAATCACGGACGTCGCTCTGTACGTACTTATACATATTATATACTATATATATATATGTACACGTATTACTACGTATATAGGTATATAACTCACGCATCCACTATATACTTATAGTATATTGTATAATATAAATTATTGAATGCAGTGCGCGTGTTGCCGTTGACCCATCTACACGTACATAATTAATATTATATTATGCAGTTCAATATTACGGTGTGTATTATATATGCGTGTCAGACGAGTAAAAAAGCTATATTGTTGTTACCCATATACAAGACGCTCCATCGAATTAATGACGTCCGACCGTACAGTATTATATTATTATGATTATATTATGATTTATACGCCATATGTACGTCGAACGTTTATTATGTATACGAGATTCATCACCTCTATTCTAATCGAACGTCGCCAGTATTTTATTGACGTCTCGCACCTATACAGTTTATTATTATTATTCGAATAGATCCTCCACTAATGAGCCACCTGGTCAGGTCGTCGTGTTATATTGTAATATTTAACTCGTCATCGTATCCACGTAAAACATTGTATAGGTACTTATATATACGTAAAGATACGATATAAGGCCGAGCACAAATTATCATCTTTGGAAGTATATTATGACGTATGCTTAATACAACCACCGGGAGCAATATATGTGCAGGTCTCCGCGAAGACGTCATCGATTTCCAGACGCCCCGTGTACTTCTATATTTTTTTTTAATTCGGATACCGTGGAGTTCAAAATCGTCGAGCCTATTATATTATATATTGTCCGAAGCTATAACTGTCCGTTTTCCACAAAATCAATAAACGCATTTTGTACAAATAATATAATAATACTACAATATATACAGAGAACTGCACGGCAGTATAATGTACGACAGTATAATAATTTATCCTTTGCAGGACGACTGTCAACGAAATATAACAATGACGACAGTATAACGAAAACGCACTTAAATCGACACGCAACTGCTGCAGGTGCCCCCTGCCATTATATTATACTCGCATTATATACGTATGTATTATGTATATAATATATTATACGAATATCGGGGTAGATCTCGCTGAAGCATTCCCGGAGCAGTGCGAAAGAACCCTTTTATTCGGCCCAAAATGTTTTGCCCTATTATGCATTATCTTCAGGACATGAATCCCGCGAAGTCTCGTAGTCCTGCAGCAAATTGTCCCTTTGCACTCTTCTATACATTTCGCATACATATTGCGCAATAATATTGTACTTTTGCAGCGTTCGTCCAGCATATTGTAGTAAGTTTTTATTCGTAATTATTTCTCTCGTAGTCTTGTCAGTAAGGAATATAACAAGCCGTGCTATAGGTTCAAAACTATTAGGTATATTAAACAACGTACATAAAATCGAGTATAAAAAAAGTGCACCGAGTAAAAGTCGACTAACCTATATCCATATTATTACGACTCGCAGTAATATGTTATAATTGTTATTGATCGTTAGTAGTCTCCGTGTGATCGAGTGATTGTGCGATTAGGATACAAGATATTTCACCTGCAGACGTATCGAACCGCGGTTGTAATTTGTAGCGCGCTCGTAACATAACACAATTATATCATAATGATATTATAGAGTATGTAATATCGCTAATTTGCAATTATAGCTGCAGTTGCATATTATACATATTATATACTCGTATAGGCACTGTTGTAAAATGCAGTAATAGAAGGGAATCGTCACTGCAGTTTGAGGCACGCGGAACGCTGCAGTTCGCCGTTTGGTAATATAACAATTCGCGGATATTGCGTATCAGTTCGACACAGGTTTTGTGCTTACACAAGCGTATATATATATATATATGTACCTACACATTTTACCCGAACAACAGGTACTATAGTCGGAAGAGAATAAATATTATAGAGAAAGAGAAAAAAAAATCATTGGCCAATCATAATAATTACATATTATATGGTATCATTGTATGTATGCGATTTTGAGGTAAACTGTTCGGTCGTAATATCCGAGCGGACAAGTTGAGATCGCGAGGCCCGAATCGCCGAGACACGCGAGCAATGCGTTTATTATTGTTATTATTATTTCTATGATTGTTATGTTGATGAGTAAAGAACACGCAAGAACTACCGAATGCGACGAAAACGGCTCTGTTTCAAATCGCACAAACACTATATATAATATAAAGTACCTTTATAGGTAGTTATTATGTTGTACATGCATATGGCAATAAACAATTTATGATGTTTGATGTTTTATATATCACAGATAATAACCATTAGGTACTGCTCAAGGGAGCCGGTGTAGAAGTCAATTTAGTGCGTGACAAAATCATATCTGAAACTCGTTCCCAGTATTACGGAAATCGAGAACCACAAAACCAGTGAGTACCTTATGAGTAGCAAAAGGATTTTTACCACGCGTTTTTTAATATACTCACGTCGGAAATATCAAAATTATATCATGTTACGAACTAGATTTTTTTTAACAACTGGGTTATGAACAACCTCAGTGTGCTCCTCTACCACCGCAAACTCCATCGTGGCATATCTCAATAGGTCACACAAAATATTATGCATTCACTTTTATTTATTGTGATCCGTGGCGCATAGGACACTGGGATTTAAATAATTTTGCAATTGTTTTGATGATTACGTGCTAATCAATAGTATATAGCAGAAAGGTAGATTGAGAGAAAAGTAGATAAATAAATAAATGCAATTAGGGACGGAGGTACATTTTAAAGGTTTTAGTTATTTTAATCGCAGCGAAAGAGAGTAGAGAAGAAAACGGAAATCAATTAATTTTAAAGTTGGATTTCAGTTCCTGTGTGTCGACGATTACTGCTGGGTTTAACATGTTACTTCCATGCACCGTGCACAATGTACCAACAATTTTTGTTACAGCAAATCGAAACATACACGTTTCTATCATAAAACATTGGAATGAACGTATTCGTCATTGCAGATCTACGTCGTTAAACGTTACATAAATGTGTGGATTTATTATTGGTTCAAGCACCACCATAGATCGGTAAGTCAATTTATTTTGATTTGAACACCTTGGGTGTAAGTGTCGGTGTAAGGGTATAAGTGTTTAACAAGTTTTTAAACCTTTTTTTGCGATATGTATAGGTATACCTAACTACCGCGAGTATTTTTTTTTGTTTTACCTATTTGAAACGGGTTTGATTTAAATTTAAAAGTACACCCTGTACACGTTTACATTTTACGTGTTATAAAAATTAATTCTCGAGATTATTTTTTTTCCCATGATAAATTGATACATTATATTACATTCCGCTCAAACGGAAACTATACGAAACACGCACAATGCAAGTAAGTAGTATCGGCCTATGATACTTGTATACACATAGTTTTAGTCTCTTACGCTTTCATATTATTACCCTGCGAGCAGTTTATATAGTTATAAGCTATATATATTATAGCGGTTTATACGCCATCCTGGCAGCGTAAACAATTATGTCGCAGCTATTATAAAATATCTGCGTCGAGTAGGTATGTTAATTTTCTACAACATACTGTGCTGATTCAACCTGATTTCATTTCACAGCTAGTATAAGTTTAAATTTAACTCGTATGGTAAAATTGTTTTTTTTTTTTTTTAATTCGGTCGGATACATTGCCCGATTGTCCGACATCGGCGAGTGGTTTGTGCAGAATGCTCATATTGTGTGGATATTAATGTGATTTTTTTATACAGTTAATTTGCGCCTTAAAAGATAATAATGTATTGATATTATTATCGACGCCACTCCGCAGTCACGGACGAAACGAAATATTAAAGGATTATCGAGAATGATTTTTATATTTCGCAACAACACTGTAATCGCGTGTGCAGTATTAAAGACGTTGACGACACAATTGATTCTATCAGTTATTATACATCATCATACGTTTTAGACTTGAGGTTACCAATAATACAGGTAATAAACTTGCGGTCACTGTTATGGTCCGTTCAGTTTTTAGGTAGGTACCTACATTACGTAATAATAATCACACACGTAGGTACCTATCCGTATTCATATATTCGTCGCGCACAATTATTAGTGTATTAAATTATTTTTAATGCACTGGCACATGCATATACACACATGGACGTGCAAAGACTGCTCGTACGTATATGTACATACACACATCGGTTAGGTTAGGAGGGCCACGGCCACGGGGGCGATTGCCCCGATCAGCACATTTTTGGGTGCAGCAAAGTTTTTCGAATGCGCGTAAGTTTTTTTATGGTTGAAAAACAAAGCCACTATAAAAAATAGTAAGCTCCGGCGTGATGCCCAAACAAAATCCTAAATATGCCACTTCAATACTTCATGCCTACATTTATACCACACATATACATACGCAGGTATATATATACAGATATTTACATTGTATATTTGTATATCAAGCATTCTCAGGCAGTGCTCACTACCATTTTTCCCTTTAATACAATAAATGTGTTCTGATTTTTGGAACTTTAAAATTTACCAGAGGGCCAGAATGTCAAATACTTAGATTATTTATATCGCTTGAGCAGTGTGCCCAGTGACGATACAAGCTTCTTTTTTTCAAATGAGAATCGCCCAATGATTCATTGTCAAATTAAGTTTACGAAATAAGGGCGGTGAGCGTGCTTGCAGGTGAATCACCCTAATATTAAATTATTATAAATTATAATACATGCTATAGATGTAAATAATATATATTTATTGTGTTATTTTTTTTTTTGAAACTCACACTTTTTTTATCAATTAACATTAATTTTCGTTATAAAATTGAAAACCAAATATAAATAGACGTCAGTGAAAAATCGTATATTTTATTTAACATATTTTTAATAACAGCATTTCTATAGTAAGTCATACACAATGATAATAATAATAATAATTATAAAAATAATAATAATATTAATCAATAAAATTCTATAATAGAAAATACCATTCTTTGTATAAGCATAAAAATGGCACACTACATCCCTACTCGTTATATCAGTCGTCGATTCAATAATAATAATAATAATAATAATAATTTATATTTATGTACAGTAGGTACGGCCGGCTATTAAACGCTCACATTTTTCCAACCACGGAGACTTAAATACTTATTTTGTATACAGCCACACGAAAATATCGTTTTACAAAGTAGGCAAATAACGTTATTCTCGTGTTTTGCTTTGAAGTGTGCGTGTCCATGGTAAATATTATGACCAACGCCTTATTTTCTCAGTTGATTATTTTACCACGTCGTTTCAAAGTATAAAATCTCGATGTGGGGGATGTTACCCGCGTTCGGATGAATACCACGAGATATTTGTTATTTTTTGAAGCGAACAAACATAAGTATTCACCGTGTCCATACTTTACATAATACACTTTTATGTCATTATTGTATATAATATTAGCCACAAACAATTATTATTGAATTAAGTAATTATTATCTCTCAACGTTCAAATATATTTGACGTATTTACACATCAAAATTAATTATTGTTAAAAAAAAATAGTAGTAATAATAAAAAATAAAAAATAAGAAGATTATTGAGCAAAACCGTACTTAAATAAAATATTTATTTTTTAATACGCGTCATAATAATAATAATATCTACAAAAGAAAACGTAGTATACCAGCGCAAGAAAAATTATGCATGGACATTAGCTGTAGCCCTGTAATAAGAAAATAAAACACGTGTCGGACGGACTAAACGTACCTACCTATTATATATTTTTGTTTTTTTCTCCTATCCAACACACATTTCATAACACATAGTACAATGCCGGGTCAGACGTTTTTTCGTATAAAAAAAAAATAATAATAATAATAATTAAGTATATATTTAACGTAAAACCGAAATTATGGTGTCAGGTCGAGTTCATATTTGGTACAATACAAGACCTTCTCTCCAATGAAACCGTAAAAAAAGCCAATACAATAACACACACATACGCCAGTTTATAGGCAGTTTTTTATGACACGAGTGGGCAACAACCAACGAGTGTTTAGTGACGACGAAAATATACGTAAAATAAAATGCTTGTGTGTTCACTCACTATGCATAAATGTATACGACGTATGTTCGTAAATTTAAGACGAATTTTTTTATATCGTTTCTATAAATAAAATAAAATAAGTAATATCTTACACTAAAATTAATTAAAAATAATTAATAACATATTAAATCCGTTAAAAAAAAAAACTGTTCACGTCTGCAGGAGTAGTAGTTGTGTGTGATGTATATAATATGTGTTGTATGTCCGCTCGGCGAATTCTCTCGTCAAAGAAAACTGAAACAAAAAAAAATTAAAATTAAATTAAAAACCATTAATTGTAATTTTCATTAATCGGTATGGCGGTTGGGGACCAATTAGCATGCATTGTTTCGGTGTCGACGGTATTGTTATTTTATATTTAACGTTGTGTAATGAAATAATTATAATGTGAGAACGTTCCCAAACAATTATTTCTCTTTTTCGGATACTAAAACCGCATAAGCACAAATAATAAATAAAAAGTTTAACAAGTAGGTATTATAGATTAACCTATGCGGCTTATGCTACGAATTAAAATACCGTATTAAAATGAATTATAAGCCCGTATATCGCGAATATAATATAAGGAGTCCTCGACGACATCGATGTGTATACAGGGCGATTATATTTTTATAAGCGAACAATCGTCATATCGGCATTTTTTTGTTCTAGTAATTCAAAATGCAACATTAACAATGTTTACATTATTTTGTATAATTTTATATTATGGTGGTTATGTTATTCACACTTCTGTTTGTTGTTGAACAACCACCATATTAACTTTTGATTTTAGACGTCAACCTAATTTACCTAAGCATATTTTATAGTTAACGTGAAAGAGGATAGATAAGCTCTAAAACGGGAACCCTGTGGAGTATGCAACATTCCACTCATTCGAGCTTTGATGAAAAAAAAATTCATCCCTTCAATACATTCATTTTGTATATTATGTCATACTGCGAAGTGTATTTATAAAAATATTTCGCTCAATTTTCGACTACGAATTTAAAATATGTGTTTCCGTTTAAAAATCAAAAGTTTGAATTGTTACCGTTTTGAGTGCCAGAATTTAGATTAATTATTTCTAAGTTTACCACGGAGGTGCTTGTAACTCGATGCTTATGTATATACATAATATTATATAGATGTATGTATGCGTGTTATTGGCTAATGAAGAATTATTCCAGGTACGTATGTAGATACTTCTATTGTATTTCATGTCGAGTACATACGATTCATAACGGTAATGATAAAAAAATATTTTTCAGTACGTAATTAATAAAATATAATATATTTGTTACAATTAGGTACCCACTACACGTTCTCTCGGAATACTGCAGCAAAATTGTATAATTTTGTTCAACGTCGGTATTTAAAATTCTGTGGTTTAAATTTGTGTTAAAAAAAAATTGTACGAGACTTTTGTGTCCAAGACATTGTATTCTCGGCTCATGATTTATCGACACAATTTCTGCAAGTAAGCGAGTTTTGGCGCTCAGATTTCAACCAGGAGATATCTAAAATTGTCCGGGGGAATAAAAGGCCCTCTTATTGCGCTCTTGTGTGTCGTGTAAATTGTAAACACGTATTATTACTATAGGTACGTAAATCATATACATATTTCACATTTTAAGTGGGCAAGATACGTGTGTGCGTTTCGCGTATACTGCAAACGAAACAAAAAGACCAATAGTGTGGGCGGCGGTCGGCGGTTCGTTTGAAATCGAAAACAATATAGCGCATACCTAACCTATAATACGTCGTCACTAAAATCGTAAAATTAATATCGTTATTAGACGAATTGTGCAATTTTCGTATAAACATAATGTTTACAATAAAACGCTGGCGTACAATATGTGCAGAAAATTAAAAATATTACGCCGCACGCGCGTTGCGCAAAACGACCGATTACGTCTATGCGGAATAATAACGCGTGCGATACACACGACGTACAATAATATTATAATAACATGCGAAGGTGCAGAGGGTGGCCGACGAAAGTAGGCTAAAATAATAATACAATATCGTCCTCGCCGTATGTATATAATAACAATATAACAATAATAATAATAATAATAATAATGCGGACAGGCGAGGGCGGGCGAGCGTGCAGTTACTTGCAGTAAATGCATAATATATATGTAATATTATAACGTGTCATATTATAGTTCATTGTTTTGAGGCGCCCGTCCGCGATATCGTACAATATTATAATATTGCGATGTATTTTATATTGTGTAGCATTATGCCAGTTTTGAAAAGCCTCGCCAAAAAACCCACGCGCAATGTGCGACGAAAAATTAATCCGAAAATGTCTGTTCCCCCGTCGGTCATCAAAACATAACGGTAAAATTGCAGTATAGCTATACGAAAGCGATTTCCGGACAACGTGTCGTCTCTTTTTCTGCTATTGTATAGTTTTCTGCAGATTTGTCTGCCACCCTGTTATGTGTGTGGGACACCCACGTCATTTGCGAAACCGACTGGTCGGGGTCATCACGTCTTGCAATCGTCGATCCGATTACACTCAATAGTCGGTCGGCCTCGATAATTTCGCAGACCGACCGCCCTTCGTGCGATTATTTTTTGCATTCTTTCGCATCGACGTTTGAACCAATAGTGCTCGTCGTCCACGCAAGTCGGGTTTTTCTTTTTTATTTACATATTATTGTTTATATATGTAATGTATCCATATTGCAGGAATAAAATTGCGAACGCGGAGGTGTAATGCGCAGGGAACGGAGAACGTTGCGCGAGACCATGGTGCATGTATAGAGGTATACCGCTACATATACCGCGGTGACCTTAATCGTTATTGTTTTTACAACAGACCGAAAACGGGGAAAAGTTTATTTCATTTTTCTACTGCGATTCGACATAATAATACAATCATCGCGAGCTACAAACATTGAGAAATCAAATTATGTCTGACCCACGAGTGTTATATTTTCGGGTGCCCGAGTGTATCGTGATATAATATAACCAATAATATCGAAGTGAACTGTACCGCGGTCAGTGTTCACCACAACTTGGTGCAGAAAATCGGATTCTGAACTAGTTTAGATGTTCTGGTATTTAAAGCTTAAATGAGCCGAGTATAGTGGACCAACCTGCAGCAGCTTTTGTGGAGCTCATCACTCCACTCCGCTCATCTATAAGCTCACAGCAACTATTTGACTATAATAATATGTACTCGTTCGATAATATTGCGATTGCCGAGCTGTAATAACTTATATTATATATGTCAAAAGCCAATGAAAATAAAAAAGATAATAAAATCGTACGAAATTTGGTTTTCAGATGTATGTACACATATATATATATATTGAAGTTTATTTTCTGAAAAATGTTCTATACTCAGAAATATGAAATGAAAATATACATGTCGTCATTCGAAAACGTTAAAAACCACATCACACGCTGAACGAAACCGTTGTTTCGCGCTGCATAATACGGTTTTAAACGAGCAGTCATTATTATAAATATATTTTATCGAGATTTTTGTTTCTTTAAAAATATGTTCGCGTATTCGAACATAACGGCGTTTACCGTTGAACGCGGTCGCTGCGACCCGGCGCGTGCTCCGAGTCATACACTTAACTATATATGGGCACGATACATATATATATATATCATTAAAATATGTGACCAAATAAATTATAATATTATGCAGTTATATTATATATATATATATATATATATTATATTATGTGGGTACGGGCGCGACGACCGTTTTTTGACGTATAACGTTTCCGAAAGAGAACGTGGGAAAGTCGTTTACATAACACTCACCGCATAGGTACCGCCGTGTATCGTAATTTATAAATTAGGTATAATAACATCAAGCGAGCGTCTTTTTATCATAATACAATACAACAATATATGGTTCTCTATAATTCGCTGCCGACGGTAAAGGACGTATGATGTTTATATTTACGAGGTGCATACGACTATATATACGAGCATTATACATAGACATATAGTACCCGACGCTTCGCCACCTATGCCGCCCACGATGATTTGTAATAAATAATTTATGTGTTTCGTATAAATCATCGAACGATCATAATAATATTATGTCGACAGGCCAGATGCGATTTTACGCGGCCCCCCGCGCTCCTCGTGTTCTATATAATATTATAATATAGTCGTCACATCCGTTGGCGTTGCGCCGAAAACTGTTCGCGTATACAATTATAATAATTAATATAAAAATGATTAGTAACGATGACGTCGTCGTCGTCGGTCGGAACGGCAAAACCGATTGTGTAGGTCCCTGTATCATAATATATGTAATATAATATTTTGATGCCGACAAGTATATAGTTTGTACGTGTTATATTCAATGCCGCCGCCGAGCGGAGAATAATATTATGCGACTTAGCCGAAGGACGTCATCCTCGCGGTCATTTCGGCCGGTATATAAACAATACCAAATCCAACGAATACATAATACCGTAAAAATTACCGTTGGTCGTCTGAAAATTTGTATAAATGTATTATGAGTCGTGTAATAATTAGAACGCGCGTACTCGTCGATGGCAATCGAGACACGACGGTGACGTGCGTAAACAAGCGTCTCTTTTTTTTGTAAATAAGACCCCTACCCGTATAATATAGACAATAATATTATTAAAAAAAGTGCCACGAAGAAATGAGGAATTTTTCGATCCGCGACTGTAAACTCAAAATTCAAAACGATCATACACGGTGCATCCATATTAATGACGCGAATAGGATATGACTTACTACGAAGATATTATAAAAAAAATCGTACACATATGCAGACGCATCGACGTAGTGGTGCAGACGTGCAGTGATGATGGTAATAATTGTATTACGAATTCGAATTTTCATTACCTATATATAGAGTCTATTCTATAGAAAGTATAGAGTGTTGGGTGTCAGCTCCCAGACAACAATATATAATACTAATACACTGCTATCCGTCGAAACCGAAATAGAAAAACAATTTCATACCATTGATCATAAACGAAGCGGTGTTCGCGCGGATATCGTTGAAAAATTCAAAAACCCGACGAAGGTTTTTACACTTTTCGTGTTAAGTTATGGTATATATAAGCGATAACCATCTCCCCACGCATCGGAGTGCAGGGTATCAAGTATAGGTAGGTACTATCGTATATTTTTTTTTTAACTTTTACAACTTCCAGGAGTATTATAATTACTATTAGAGTTTAACAATCGAAATATTGAATTGAGGCAGATTTTAATATTTATTGCCAATAAAACGA